CATGCGTGTCAGGGCAGGGTGCCCACGGGCGGTGGCGGCCCCGCAGGCCTCAGGGAGGGCGGGGTTCTGGTGCAGAGTCCTGGGGTGCTGTCGAGGCCATGGCCTTGCCCTTGGGCGAGGCAGGGCTCCCGCCGTGTCCCTGACCACGCCTTTGCCCCCAGGTCCTACGGAGACCTGCGCTGCACGCGGTACTGCCACATCGACTCCACGCCCTGCCGCTACTTCACATGAGGCGCCAATGCGGGCCACCCCCAACGCCGGCCTGGCACCGACCCGGCCAGCCTCCACCAGCCTGCGGGGACGCACCCGTGACACAGTTCCATGGAGGACTGTAGGACCACTGTACCCTTGTCTTAATCCAGAGTACCAGGACACCCCCCAGCCTGCCTGGGACTGGCCCGTCACTGCCAGCTGGCCGAGGGGCCGGCCACGGTGGCCTCTCTCCTCTGGACAGCCCTGCCCAGTCCCTGGCCCCGCTGGGCACTGTAGACTCACAGCCCTGCAGGGCTGTTCCCGCCGTTCCCGCTGGCTCGGGTCTCGTTGAGGGAGGCTGGTGGATGGCCTCTGCAGCCCTCTGAGCCTCCGGCTACACGGCACTCGCACCACTGCGGTGGGCCAAGCTCACTGGGGGCCCCTCACGCGGCTGCAGCCCAGCCTTGCATGGCAGTTCCCCCAGAAAGAGACCCAGCTGTGAAAGGGTTCCGAGGAAGCCACCAGACCCATGCCACCCCTCAGCAGTGAGCAGAGGCCCGGCTGGGTCCCCTGCGTGCGGACAGGAGCAGAGCAGTGGCCTTGTGCTTGGTGCTCCCCGCAGAGCCTGCTCCGTGGCTTCCAGGTCTCAGCATCAGCTTGACCCCAGGCTCCCTCTGCGCTGGACCACCTCGTGAAGCCCCTTGGGCCTACTTCCTGTCCAGGGGACTCAGGACCAAGGCAGGGTCTCCTGGCAGAGGTGTGTCCCATGTCCTTAGAGGCTGCCCTGGTGTCCCTCAGGGACCCACTGCTGAGTCTCCTCTCTGCAGAGACTGTTTCTGCCCCTCTCTGCCTTCTCGCTTCCCGCTGCCCTGGGTCCCCGGGCCGCCTGCCGGGTCTGTGCCCTGCAGAGCTTCATCCCTCGTCCTCCATCCGCCCAGCCTGGACTTCCAGGGACTCTGGTCTGCGCATCCTGGGCCGCCTCCCTCAGCGTCTTCCCCGGGCATGGCTTTATTTTGGAAAGGCATCTCCGAGACGAGGCGTGCACACAGATGATCTTGGACAGGAGGTATACGTTTGTCACCAGACACAGGGACACCCCAGGGCTTTTGGACATAGTCATTCGATGAGCCCGAGTCTTGGAGACACAGAAGGCAGAGGCTTCCGGCCCAGCGGGCCAGCTGCTGGCAGTCAGTAGGCGGGCCGGGTCTCCCCGAGGGTGTCTCCACAGGGGTGCCAGCCCAAGGCACACTGACCAGCCTGTCCCCTCTGCCTCTGCTGGAAAGCCTGCTTCCGCACTGCCCCCGCCGTCCTGGGATCTCAGGCAGGAGTCAGAATAAAGGCCGTCCGTTCCCCACCGTGGCTCTCTCTTCCTTGGGGGAGTGGGCCAGTGCTCCGCACTGCTGGGTAGGGTGAGGGCCTGGACTCGGGTCTGCTCTCTGGCTCTGCAGAGAATTCCACGTTCCAGTTCGCCAGGTAAAGAGGGGCAGTGGGACCATAGTAGGCCATCGGTATCCAGTACCCTCAGCCGCGGCGTGCCCGTAGTAGGCCGACGGCATCCAGTACCCTCGCCGCGGCGTGCCCGTAGTAGGCCGACGGCATCCACAAGGCCCCTACTTCCCGCACCCTCCCCACTGCACCACACAATTCCTCCCGTCAATGGAGTGTGTGTCCCCAGTCCTGGATTCTGAATCTGGCCCTGTGACTTGCTCCGGCTATGACACGTTTGCGATTGTGACAGAGCATTTCACGTTTCCTCCCTCACCCTCACCCTTCTGCCTGGCCGTGAGGTGTCCAGGCTAAGCCGCTGGAAGGGAGGCACATGGAGAACCAAATGCGGAGCTGCGCAGGCCACGGCCATCCCAGGTGAGAACGTCACAATTCTCGGGCAGGTGAGGGAGCCAGTCCACGCCAGGGCTGCCCAGCCAAGGCTGAACTGCCAACACAGACTCAGGAGCAGAATAAATGCTTCTCGTAAGCCGCTGAGTTTTGGGGTGGTCACATACCGGTATCTGTGGGGGCAACGGTGAACAGAAGCTAAGCCTCCCTGAGGTGTGCAGCCTTCACTGACCCCCATGGACGGTCCTAGCCAACCTGCTGGCCTGCCTGAGCGCAGGAGGGCCGGCTCAGCAGTTAGCAAAGGGCTCCTATACCAGTTCTGAGCACAATTCTATTCAATCCAGGGTTCCTGAGTACCCACCCGTTACCAGAGCTGAAAAGGAACATGGGCACTGCCCACCTGAGTGCTGGCAGCCTTGCAGAGAGCCACGACCCCAAGGCTGATGCAGGCCCTGCTGAGCAGAGGTGTCAAAGCAGCAGGTGGGTAGGGTCGCTTCCAGCCAAATGGCCACTGGAGGTTGGAGGGTTTGTGTGTGGCGTGGCGTTCCAGGCAGAAGGAAGATGGCAAACTAAAATGACTGCGGGGTTTGTCTAGCAATTCAGTTTAACCCTTACATGGCTCTCAAAGCCTGCCTTTCCTGACCAAGTTTATGGCCTCGGACGCTGGCCGGCTGGCCCAAGATACCGTTCATTTTTTATCTTTGAACTTTTATACAGATTCATCCTTCAGTTTTGAATGTCACACCTAATGGGAGTGGAAGTGTACTTCCCAATAACCATAAGCACCAAATTAAAGAAAAAAAATCAATTTACTTACCTTATTAGGCTTAAGCACAAAGAACTTTTAAAAAATGTTCTAGAATTCTTTAATAAATTTTTTTTTAAAGTTTATTTATGTACTACATCATGGTTAACTGCTATACCCCTGTTTGGCCTCCCGCTAAGAATTCTTAAAATAGGTGGAGGCAGCTTCCGTGAGGCATTCTCCCATGGGACGGCCCTCGTTCAAGGCCAGAGAGCCCCCGGAGTACGCTGCGCATGGTGCCCACACACCGGGCTGGCCGGAGCACAGGGTGGGTCGTGGCGCCGAAACCTTGTCCAAGGTGCCGTTTGTCTGTCTCTTTGTTCATGGAAGGAAGAGATCAAACAAACAAAAAAAACCCCTATATTATTCATTGATTTCTAGCAAAAAAAATAAAAATCACCAAGACATTAAGTGAATTGCTGACCTTCATTTTTTATTTAAATATAGTGATATTTTAAAGAGAATAAACCAAAACTCTTTACACTGCAAATATTTTTCATATATGTAAACATGGCAGTCTACCTCATAATTAAGCAAAATAAACTTTTAGGTACAAGATTTTTAAAATTATTAAAGAATAAGACAGTGAACCCAAAACAGAAATAACAGGAACAAAAACCCCCATTTCGTAACGCTTCAGCTGGTCTTGTCTTCCAGCCACTGGTGAAGGCCTGGTCAGAAACCCTCCCACCCTTGCCAGTGAAGCAGCCAATTCAGCTCTACCTGATCTATATCCAGGTAAGACGGATCCTCAACGTAATGTAATAAATACATCTCTCTCTCACACACACAAATCCTGCCGAAGCGGCCTCTCAGACAGGATTTGGGAGTTTCAAGTCTCCCCACCACTGAAGCACACACAACACGACACAGAGAAAAGACTGTTCTGCTACAGAGGCGGAACAGCTCACGAGCGGCATTATCACAAACCTTTCGTTTATTCGTCCTGTGTTTCCCCAAATCACACCGTCACGAGGGCTCGTCGCCTCGCGGAGATGACCCAGTACCTCCGACAGTGCAGAGCAGGGCAAAGGCTATTCTCACATTTCACCAGACTTCAGTCCTAACATCAGATATCCCGCCGTCTCCAAATGCCTGGGATGATTCCTCTGCCTCCTTCCCCGCCGGCTGAGCACCTCACTGTCCACTCCGGAGACGAGGACAGCGCCTATGTTAGGGGCTCCTACCAACGGAGGGCAAGCTGGAGCAGGCTGGACGCACAGGGCCCTCGGGCTGAGGCCGGCGTGGAGCCCATGAAGGTGGCGCCGACAGAGCCTGGGGGTTGGGAGGAGGAGAGGCTGGGGGAGGACACAGGGCTGTGAGGACAAGCCCCCTTTGGCTGGCACGAGCTAACTCGTGAGAAGTCACCTGAGGGGCCAAATCCTTATTTCCAAAAAGATAAGATTCCTTCCTCTGTGGGTAAAGCCGGGGTGCCGGGGGACAGAACCACGCCAGGCTTCGTGCAGAGAACACGGCACAGTGTCACGGAGGGCGGAGGACAGAGGACAGAGGAGAGGGTCTGAAGCTCAGAAAGCCTGGCTCACCAAGCCCACGCCAGAAACGTCAAGTGTTCTCAGAGACCGAAACCACAGTCCTGTGTATACAGTTCCGGGCTGCAGAGCAGAGAGAGAGAGGCACACAGGCATTCCTAGTTCGAGTTCCTGGAACCCGCCCCAGTGAGCAGGTTGCAAGTAATGCAGCAATTCCCACACTGGGGACAATGCAGGTCTTTCCACAGAGACGTCACCTCCCTGAGCTCTCATCACCCTGGAGTCGCAAAGCAGTTACCCACCCACTGCCTGCCCCCGAGTCTAGACGATACCTCATGGCAGGCTGAGAAGCCCTGGCACACGTGTCCCTGCCACTGTCCGTGGCCAGAGTGCTGTGTGCATGCACCAGGCAGCGGCTCTGCGCCCCAGCTCCAGCTCAGCGGGCCACTGCACAGCGCACAGCTGACTCTGCACGGCACAGCTGGAGCCAAAGCCCCAACATGGACCAACGACTTCCCTGCTGGGTCCAGGCACCTCCCTCCACTAGCTGGGGAGGGAGAGGCTGTCCGAACGGGAAGACCGGAGGACGGACGGGAAGTCACCACTAATGTCTTCACGCCCACTGAGCCAGAGGGCATTCACGCCAAGACACAGGCCACACCGTCACTCCGCGTGGGGCGTTAACTAGTGGCCAGTGTCCTGCAGCAACAGCTCCATCTGGGAACTGCACGGTGTAGAAGGCAACCTTGTGACTTTGTAGGTGTGCGCACACAGGTCAGGGCCAGGCACAGACGCACGAGCAGGAACCTGTCAGTGCGCGTTTGCACTGCAGCACTCCTACCTGGCTCACCTGGTCAGAGAAGTTTCTCGATTACATCTTCCACTCCGACCTCCCCGCTGAGATCCACCGAGCAGAGGACACTTGGTATGGACCCGCGGTACTAATCGAATCTGCAATCTAGGAACAGCTCTGAGGCACAGCTCAGAGTCCCACGTCTGTCAGTCTGATTCCGGTAAATCCAAGTCGAGGAGGGAGCAGTGAAAAAAGCCTGGCCTTGGGGCAGACTGGCCGTCACATCTGTGTGCTTCCCTTTCCTAGTGTGGGAACAAGGGGGCCTCGCCCGGCAGACACGCGAGGACTCTGTGCAAGTCCATGTCTACAGTCAGATGACTGTTTCTTACCACTCTGTGTCAGCAGTTAAAGTGGTTCTAACACCCTCCCATGACGCAGTGTGAGGTTCCCCCGTCTTCTATCCCTCATGAGAGTTTCATCTCACTGGGGCCGACCCCACAGCCACGCTGAGGGCTGCAGAGGTTGAAAACCACGTCACTGGCCTGGTGAGACATGGCCTTTGAGTAACCCAGACCAGGGCACGTCTGTCTGTTTTCATTAACGATGTTAACCAAACAGGACTATCAGGGTTAGTTCTTCTATAGATCTACTTAAACTCTGAAACACGAGATTGTTCAAAAACTACACGAGAAGGTCACCCGCCACCATGAGTTAAAGGGTTGAATGTCGGAGCGCTCCAGAGCCTCGGACTCCCATTAGTCACTGATCCACAGCACTGTCCTCTGGGCACCGGCTCTACGCTGAGCCTGGCCTTGCAGCTGCGTGTGCACCGAAGAGTGAACCACGAGCGAGCCAGCACTAGTCGTCACTGTCACTGCCAGACTCGCTCAGCTGCAGGTCGTTTCCTGCAGAGAGAAGACAGCGTGAGAGCAAGGCAGACTGTGACAATGCCTCCCGTTCAGGTCCATGGCTGGCTCACCCTGACTATCACGACAGTACGACCTGGGCAATCCAGCTTAATTAGGGAGGAAAACTCACTTGGCTCCGTGGGGACAAAGCCCGAAAAGGGGTGCAGTTACCATCTGAGAAGAAATGCTGTTGGGGAGTGCAGAGCACAGCCCCACTGCGTACAGAGACATGGCCAGGGAGAAGCGGGCACATGTCCTGGCAGGTGCTAGGAAGCAGGAGGACACTTACGAACGGCCGCTTGCCGTCTGCTAGATGCAGCCACGTGAAACTGCTTGATGAAAGCTAAAAGCCACCACGCTACAGGCTTCCGGTTAGGACGGGAATGGATGCTCACATACTAATACCCTAGCCCCACGTGCCCTCCTCTGGTGCTGCACCCCTCTGTTCAGGACAGTGACATTAGCTCAGACCTCAGCCTGAACTAATGAGCTTTACAAAGGCCCAGACTCTTGTTTCATGGGCAGAATTCAGGAGGTAAGAACAAATACTCCATCTTTCAATCTAGTATGGTAACACAGAACCCGAGCAGATCCCACTTGGATTAAAAAACAAAAGTGAACTTGTACATGTGTGGGTCGCTAATCTCTTCTCAAAGACCTGCAGGCAGGGGCAGTGCATTGGCAGGTAGTTCCCGAAAGCCAGGGATATGCAAAAACAAAGAGCCCATCTGTCCCACTGTGGCATTTTCTAGAATTGACAAAACCCAATTTGTGCCAATGGGAAACGAGAAAGAAAGCCAATCCGAGCCCTGTGTTTCCTTTCCTGCTGTTGGCAGCCACTCCTGCTGCTCCACGTTACCTTTGCCGAGACCCTCCCTGTGCCTCCCGGCTTCAGGCTTACTGACTCTGGGCTAAGTACAGAGGGTGCGTGTGGCCGTCACCCTGGGGAGAGCGCACTTACGGAGGGTGTTCATGAGCTGGGTGCTCCCCTGGGGCCGGCTGGTTCCATTGGCCATGGCGGGCCTGCTGTTGTAGGGCTGCTGGTGCGACGGCTGGGGGGGCGAGGCAGGGCCACCGTCCTCAACCCCACTGCTGGAGCTGTCCTCGTCGCTTCCCGAGGAGCTCTCCGAGTCCGAGGAGCTGCTGCCACTGCTGCTGCTCATCTGCTCAATGATGTCGACTTCGGCCCTCAGCTCTGGAACGAAGCGACACGACGTGGTTAGCACGGCGTCCTCCTCGAGGCAACGCCCAGCTTCTGTGAACAGTGAGCTGGCAGGACCAACACCAGTAAGGGATCACCTAAAACAAACTCTGCTCCTCGATTCCATGAAAATACGTGTGAACAAAGTTACAAAAACCAACACCAGAAATCCTGTTTCTAGAGAAACAATAGAAATATTAAATTCAGTCAAAAAGAGCAGACTGTTTCAGGATAATGACTGGGTTGAGTCAGGGTCAGCAGGTGGAATAGTGGCTAGTGCGCTAGATCTCACATGGCCAACTGTGCAGTTCAAGTCTTAGACCAGCAGCTTCTAACAGGCTGCACGTGTGTGCATGCCCAAAAATCCCAAGAAAGGACCGTGGCATGGCCATCCCTTCTGGGGGTGATTTCTCACTTTCCTTCCCTCTCTGTCTCTCTTCGGAGAGCGCATGTACCCTATGGAAAAAAAAAAAAAAACCCTAAAATACATACATACACACACATACATAAATAAATCTATTTTTTAATGATCTATTATGAAAAAGAAGTTGAGAATTATGTGATGAAACTCCACATAAGAGAAACATACTATACTAGGGAGTTGAAAATATTTGACTAGGAGTTGGAAGGCCTGGGTGCTTGTTTGGATCTGTCTCCACAGCACTGAGACAGCGGTGGCATCAGTGGGTCATTCAAGTCACTGGGAAAATGAAGCCAGACAGCCTCTGAGGTCCCTTCTGGCTTGTGTCCCATGAATAAATGGAGCTTGCAGAGGAACCACGGTGCCTGGAGAAAAACGGTGGAACACCTCCCCTCCTCACTCCCTACATAACTGACAGGCTTGTGTCCCACGAATAAATGGAGCTTGCAGAGGAACAGCGGCGGTGCCTGGAGAAAAATGGCGGAACACCTCTCCTCCTCACTCCTTACATAACTGACTGGCGGTCATGCTTGCCAGGTACTGCACTTTTATTTATTTAGTCTTTTTTTAGCTTTCTAGCTATAAAGCACATGTGTTCACGAGAGAGAGAGAGAGAGAGAGAGAGAGAAAGAGAGGCAAGGTGAGAAGTCACCCCTTCAAGGGATAGTTACAACCCCTTCTCCTCCACTCTCCTGTTGGGATTCTGGGCATATGCGCATACGTGCCCGGTGTGTTTCTGAGCTGCTAGGACTGGGGGTCTTGCATCACAGTGGGCTATGTGGGACCTGGTGGCTCTCACCTCCATGCCACCTGCTGGAATGGGCACTACATTTTTTATTTTTTGAAGAATTATTTAATTTTATTTATTTATTTTAATTTGATCAGGGAGGGACAGCGAGAGTGAGAGTGAGCGAGCAAGCGAGCGAGTGAGCGAGCAAGCAAACTGTCAGGTCTGGCACTCAAACAGTGGTTGGCCACGCGGAAGTCCAGTGCCCTTAACCAACACGTCACCTACCAGCCCTGAACTTTCTGCATATGTAAGGCCGGGGAGGAAAACACATCTTACCAAAGCATTCGCCATCAGAGTACATGAAGGATATCCGAGATACATCGAAAGAAATGCCAGAGTCTCTGTGCAAACATACCACGTGCTCCTGAGAGGCCCTATCTCCTTGGACACAGCCTGCAACAACACAGCGCTCCAGGTCTACTCCCCATTCACCGCGAGTGGGAACCTCCCAACAGTGCTGCCCATGGGGAAGAGCCGTGAGGTCAGCAGCACAGAGTGCCGAGATCATGTGCTAGACAGGCTTTCTACAGGTGCCAAAGACGAATGTTTATCTTTCCCGGTCTACTGTTCCTACGGATTTACTTTTGGTTCATAAAACGTACAAATATGAAGTATGACATTTAGCCTTGTGAGAGTCTGGAGGACTAACCCACTGCATGTGGGACACAGCCCAGGTGAGCAAAGGAGAGAGCCCAACGGAGCTCGAGGTCCCCGAGGCTAGTGAACCCCTCTGGTCCTCACGTCGGTGTCCACTCTACGCCCTCTGTGCCAGCACCAGGGTCTGGCCACAGCGGGTCCAAGTGCTCTAACCTGACTCGACACTAACTCCAAGCTCAGAGACATCGCCCGCTTGGTTTCCAGCCTGATACTCAGCGCCCTACCCTTCTCCAGAGCCTCACAGGTGCACCACACGGAGCTTTAGACTAGCCACGCTTGATCACTCCAGGCTGCAAAGCAGCACGCTGTTGGGAGAGCCACGGTTCCAGTCTGCACTCCTGCACTCACGCGTGTCCACTGAGCTGAGTGGTAGAAGCCCCGCCTCCCCACCTCCGAGCTTCGCATTTTGTTGAGGGTAGTAAATGCCCAGGCCACCATGTCACTGCAGTAGCCCAGCGACCGCTGTAAGAACACCCACACCCATCCCAAGTCCCCACCCTCACCACCATGTCACCACAGTAGCCCCGTGACCCTGTAAGAACACCCACACCCATCCCAAATCCCAGCATGGCTCAGAACATGGCCTCTACCTCTTTTGATGTCATCCAGCTGAGGCTCAGGGGAGGGGTTATCTTTCAAGGGGGAGGTCTTGGGTCCAGTTGGAGGCTTCGTGGGAGCTCTGAATGGCATGGGTGGTGGAGGCGGTGGTGGCTGTGATGGCTGTGGGGGACGAGGGGGTTGCTGCTCCATTCGGGCCTGGATTTTACTGCTGCCCTCAGCTCTGCAATGAGACATGCGTATCACAGGGTCAGGAACAGTGGTCCCCAAATCTGTCCAGGTGACCAAGGACCTCTAAGTCTCCACAGAGCTTCACACTCTTTACAGACCACTACGGAATATCGCTATTTACTACTTTATCACGCAAATTACTCATTCAGCATATGTGTCTAATGCACTCCAGGACTGCACTGGGCACCAGGAACACAGAGACAGATAAGTACAGCTCGTGGTCATTCTAGGAGCTCACATTTTATAGCAAAGAGATAAGACAGATGTAGGACACAATATGATTGTGAGAGCCCATTCTACTAGAAAATAGGACTCTATCACCATTGAACTGTGTACACTAGAACGTTATAACCATGAATGTGGGAGCTCCTAAATAAACTAGCTCTTCAAAAAGTGCCCAGCTTGCACATTTGTCTATTGTCTACTTACTGCTTCCTCACATGCCAGCAGGCAAGCAAAAGGCTTCCTGAGACAGAAAGTTCCAGCTACTGCCAATTTCCATCGTAACTGGACTAGCCCGGTGCTTCTCACACTTGAGCGCAGGCGCAGATCAGCCAGGTCTCTGCACACCTGACCGTGGGTCCTGAGAGCACCAGGTGACCGGCGGCTGCTCGCTGCAGATCAGGCCGAGCAGGAAGGGCGGTGACCACAGCCTCAGATACGGGGCCAAGAGCAGCCACTGGCTGGACCCAGATAGGCGGAGGAGCAGGACAGGGCGGAGGAGCAGGACAGGGCCGAGAGCAGCCACTGGCTGACCCAGATAGGCGGAGGAGCAGGACAGGGCTCCAGGGCGGACTGCCCGACGTGGGTCTCCACCCTAGTGCCCGAGTCAGGTAAGTTGCATCTGACCCTCACTCTCCACATCTTTTTTTCTTTTTTAAAGGATAACAATAATATCTCAAAATTACTCATGAAAGTTAGGAAAGACGATGAATGTAAAGCATCCGGCACACTATCACACGGTGACTCAAAATATACGGGGCCGGCTAGTAGTGAGGTAGTTAAGGTGCTGCACACTCCCTCATGGCTGACCATGGTTGGAGTCCCAGACCTGGCAGCTTGCTTTCTTACTTTCCCTCCCTCTCTCTGTCCTCTCTGGTCAAATTAAAATATATAAAATATATAAAGTTGAATAAAATAATTCTTTTTTTTTTTTTTCACTATAGGGCACGTACGCTCGCCAGACAGAGAGAGACATAGAGACAGAAAGCGAGAAATCACCCCCCAGGGGGGATGGTCACGCCACAATCCCTTCTCCTCCATTCTCCTCTCGGGATCTTGGGCACGTACGCACACGCGCCTGGTGTGAGTTTTAAGCCACCGGGTCCGGGACTCGAACCACGGTCGAGTACGTGGGAGTCCAGCGACATAGCCATTACGCTAACTGCTGGTTCCCAATAAAATAATTCTTTAAAAATATACACACACTGTAATAGTTAGTATATTATAATGTGATAAATAGAACCACTTAGTTACTGAATGCTGCTTTTCAGATAAAATCTAACTGGCTTCAGATTAGACTTGTAATGCATACAAATAAAATACTCAATCAAGTCCACTTTTCAAAAAAAGGACCAAGCTTTACTTTGCCATCATAGTGGCCTTAACTGTATTCTGTAAAAATAACTACCATTTGGGGCCAGTGGGCTACACAGGGGTGAAAGGTGCCGGACTGCATGCGGTGCGGCTGACTGCAGGCTGAGTTCCAGGTGCTTAAAACTCGTGCTGGGCACGTGTACATACACACCCGCCCAAACCCCAAGGGGAAAGTGGAGAAGGGATTGCTGGGTGGCCACCCTGCAGGGGTGGCTCTTCACTTTCTGTCTCTCAGGCAAGCACATGCACCTTACAGCAAAAATCTCTATTAAAAAAAAAAAAGGAAAAATAAAAACAAAAAACCCAAACACACATACACCTAAAACTAGTGTTTTCACCCAAATAGACATTATTCAATGATTATTTCATGACTATAAATCTATTTTAAAAAAATCCTATTTCTTAGGTAGTATATTAAAAATTATGAGACTAACAAAATTGGGGTACCAGCAGTTGGCGTAATGGCTATGTTGCTGGACTCCCATGTAGTTACTGTGGTTCGAATCCTGGACCTGGTGGCTTAAATTCACACCATGCACATGTAGATGCGTGCCCAAGATCCCAAGAGGAGAATGGAAGAGAAGGGATTGTGACGTGGCCATCCTCCCGGGAGGGTGATTTCTCTCTTTCTGTCTCTCTGTCTTTCTGGCAAGCATACACACCCTATAGCAAAAACCTCTCAGAAAGAAAAAAAAAAAAGGTTTAATTATAAATACACCCCTTTCCCAAAGGCTGCCACAATTTAGGTTTTAAAAGCATTTTTCCTTTTTGTTATATTTGAGAAAAGACAGGACCAGCAGGTGGCATGGTGGTTAAGGTGTGGACACTCCCACATGGGGTACCACAGTACAGTCCTGGACCCGGCGGCTTGCTTTCTCTCTCTCTCTCTCTCTTGCTCTCTCTCTCTCTCTCTCTCTGTGTGTGTGTGTGTCTGGTCAAATTTAAATAAATGAATGAATAAATAAAAATTAAATAAATAATCCTTGAAAAATGTATTGGAGAAAAGATGTATTTTCTTGACCTGTTGAAGACGGGCAGGATTGTTAAGGTTGTCAAGAGGACACTATGAATGCTCCTAGCCTTGTGCTAATAAACACCACAATGGTCTGGGACACCGTCAGTCTGCCCTAGTTACTCACATACCTCGTTTTCTTCACCTGGATGCTGCTGCTGAGTCTCTCCAGGACATACTCTCCCGTATCATGGTTGATGATGAGCACGCAGTCCTTCTGGTAAGGCCGCTTGTTCCCCTTGAACACGGTCATTGGTGGTGTGGATCCCTACGGGTCACAACATGTAAGATGGCTGAACTACTCATGCCAACATGAATGTCAAACTTGGTACCACAGATGACGCCTCCTTGTCAAATCTACTATCAGAACTAGTCACAACAGAATACAACAGAATGCATCGAGTTGTCGGAACCCCTTCTGGTCTTTCAGGAAAGATCGAGAGAGATAACGCAGCAAGAACCTGTGACCGTGCACCAGTTCCAACCAATCAGAAGGGGAAGCAGAGGGCCAGCTACATACAAAGCAGAGACACTCTGCTCCAGAGACTGGGCTCCTCACGTGACCGGAGTGGGACTCCCGGGCCGGGCTGCCTGAAACTCAATGGGCATGAGTGGCCAGGATCTGACAGGGTGCAGGCCTGGAAAAGGGGACAGCAAGACCAGACCCTGTGGAGGCTGCTGTTCTCGCTCGCTCTGTCTCTTGCTTTCATGCCCACATGCGTGTGCATGCAATTTACCATGGAAAAAAAAATTTACAAAAGGGTGGTATAGGGGCCAGCAGGTGGCATGGTGGTTACCATGCTATACTCCGATATGGCCAACCATGGTCTGAGTCCCAGACCCAGTGTCTTGAAAATCTCACCAGGTGCGTATGTGTGCGTGCACAAAATCCTGAGAGGAGAATGGAGAAGAAGGGGCTGTGGCATGGCCACCCTCTGGAGGGTAATTTCTCACTTTCCCTGTCTGTCTCTCTCTGATGAACACACATGCCCTATTACAGAAACCTTAAAAAAGAAGGGGAGGGGGAATCAGCAGTTTGCGTAATGGCTACATAGCAGGATTCCCATGTAGTCGACTGCGGTTCGAGTCCTGGACCCGGTGGCTTAAACTCATGCTGGGCACATGTGCATGCATGCCCAAGATCCTGAGAGGAAAATGGAGGAGAAAGGATTGTGGCATGGCTCACCCCTGGTGAGTAATTTCTCGCTTTCTGTCTCTCTGTCTGTCTCTGTCTTTCTGGCGAGCACGCACACCCTGTAGCAAAAACCTCTCCAAAAAAAAGGGGGAGTAGTATCAAATTGTGAATTACTCAGGTTTCTGAGGGGTTGGGAAATGTAACAAGTGATGATTAAGCACCAGTGGAAGAAAACAAAGTAGCTATTACCTAAGCAGAGCCCTGTGGGCCCTGGGCTCTGAGTGTGCTAACCCTCACATCTTTGTGGCCCCCCACCCCAACTCAGGACTTTACCAAGGCTCAGCCTACTGCACCCTGCCGGCCCTCTTTAAATTACCCAACCATCAGATCTGTTTCGAGGTTGACTCCTTAACGGGACTCTACCCTGATTTCCTCAAATAAGTGCTACACAAGGAGTTACCAAAAAGTTCATGGAAAAATGGATTAAAACATGAGTGTTTTTTGGTGCAAAAATTTTCAAATACATGCAAATTTCACAATACACATTTCCCATGACTCCTTGAAGACTCGCTTCTGTTTTTGTACACTTGTTTACACTCCAGTCCACCAGGACAAGAAATGTGTTGCGTTCTTAGTACCAAGTGATGGGCTAGCGCATAACAAGGGTCCCATTAATATTTGTCGGCACACGGTAATCCGTGTCAAAGCTTGACTTTGAATCCTTGATCATACAGTAACAGCTCCAAGGTTGAAGGGACCTTAGGGACCATTTCTCTCACTTCTTCATTTTGCATTTGGGAAACGCAGGTCCAAAGGGAGATGATGCAACTTGCCAAGGGCGACAGGCAACGACAGAGCAGTTGAGCAGGCAGGCATGCACTCTCCCAGCACAAAGCTTTCCAACTCTCCTGTTAAAGCCTTTTCATTCTATCTTCAGCTACCAAGAACGTATGTTCTAAGACAGGGCTGTGACCCACAATGCCACGTATTCAGGAAGAGCATCTTGTGTGACTCTGGGCTTTGGGATCAGAGTGCTGCCGTGGAGGGGGCGCTCACAGGTCTCTCTCTGAAAGGGTTTTCAATCTAGCTGTCATCTAAGTCCTTCACCCATCAATAAGCTGAATGCGCCGAACCTCTGGTTCCTGTCTGAAACTATCAGCCTGAATTTGACCCATTCTCATCTCGGGATTCTGGGCGCACATGCGCCTGGCCTGAGTTTCCAGGTGCCAGGCCCAGGATTTGAACTGCAGTCAAGTACATGGGAGTCCAGCGATGTAATCATTACACCATCTGGTGGTCTCAACCTATGCGTACTTCGAAGTGTGGCAGAACGTCCAGACAGGAACCTTGTCCATTTGGTATCGTATGAGGAAAAAAGGGAGTTTGAAGATGACAAAGATGCTTTTTTATTTTTTTGCCACGGGGTATGTGCACTTGCTGGAGAGGGACAGAGGAAAGGGACAGCACCCCATGGGGGATGGTCATGCTGCAATTCCTTCTCCACATCTCCCTCCTTAAGGGTTTTGTCATGTGGGAATGCACTCACACCCAGACTGTTTTTCCAAGCTGCAGGGTCTAAGACTTGAACTGCGCAGCAAGCCCTGTAGGATCCAGCTGCCTTAACTACCCTGCTATGGGCTGGACCCAAAGAATTTTTTTTCTGAGGGGGGAAGAGGTTTTTGCTATAGGGTGCGTGTGCTTGCCAGACAGACAGAGAGACAGAAAGTGAGAAATCACCCTCAAGGGGGGATGGTCAGGCTGCAATCCCTTCTCCTACATTCTCCTCTCAGGATCCCGGGCACACATGCACATGCGCCCTTAAGCCACCGGGTCCAGGATGCGAACCGTAGTCAACTACATGGGAGTCCAGCGACAGAGCCATTATGCCAACTGCTGGTCCCCCCAAAGAATTTAGGGGGAGACATTTTTGCTATAGAGCTCATGCACTTGTCAGAGACGCAGAGAGAGAGAGAGAGAGGGAGAGAGAGAGAGAGAGAAACTACCCCCAAGGGGGGATGGCCACGCTGCAATCCCTTCTCCTCTTGGAATTTTGGGCACTGTCCGATGTGTTTCAAGCGCCTGGGTCTGGGACTCAAACTGCGGTTGGCCATTTAGGAGTCCAGCGCCTTCACCACTACACCATCTCCTGGCCCCCCAAAGAATAATTTTTAATCAAGCACCTAAGTAGCGTGAATTCTACCCCATCTCCGCGGTTCTCCCAAGTTTCTTTTTCCTTACGCCGACACGGAGAAATTTTTGAACAGTAAGAAACTAATCGTATCGCTGTGAAATGTTAGGGTGCGCTGTAAACCCCCGCTTAAAGAGCAATGACGACAGAGCCAACTCACAGGGATGTGTGGCAGTGTAATGGTGACTTCATCTCCTTTGCCAACCTGAAGCTCTCCTTCACAGGAAGTGTCTATAGACGCTGGCTTAAAATCATCTAAAAAGAAAGGGCAAGCGCTTACTCACTAAGTTACTTTTTTTTTAAAGTTTTACTATAAGTCATGCATGTTCTCTAAAGAGGGAGAAAGAGATGGAAAGTGAAAACCACCCCTAAGGGGGATGGCCAAACCAGTCTTCTGTGTTCTCCTCTCCGGGAGCGGGAGCGGGAGCGGCGCGTGCAGCTGGGCCTGCACAGCCCGCGGGAGCCGCCTTACCCTCGTGCCAGGGCTGGCCCCCGCGTTACTAAAACCGCGTCCTGAACACTGTCACGTAGGGACTAAGATGCTCCCATTCAGGTAACCAGGGAATAAAAGCCACCCGCAGTCCTCAACAGCCTGTTCCAGGGGAAAACACGGCGCACTGGGGCAGAGAGCAGGACTCCCTGACCCTCACCGCCTCAGGGATCAGCGTCAGAGACAGGCTAGACCCGTCTACACCGCCACCTATTTCTGTCCACCCCGCAGGATTTTGGGGGGATGCTAACACGTACACACCATTTTATTACGGACATTTTCTTCTCGGGGGACAGAGGACAGCGATGGCACGTTACCCACAGGAAGGACAAACTCCGAAGCGTTACCCCGGCCCCACGGAGGCGGCTCGGCTCGCAGAGGGCTGCCCAGGCAGGGCTGCGGGAGACCCCGGCGGACCCGGGCGCCGAGGGAGGAGGCGGGTCCGCCCGGGGCGCAGGGCGGCTCGGTCCCCGCTGAGTCAGGGCGTGCGCCGCGGCCA